TTGGCCAAAAGTGCATGCTGGATTATCCTGTTTAATAGCCACCAATCAGACAATTCTCTAGTAATTTTACAGTGTTTTTTGGAAATCATTTTTATCATTTCCTTTTGTGATTGTGTCCATCCTGTGACAAGAAGTTTCACTGTATGCACCATGTGGAAAAAAAGAGATGATTCATTTTTCAGCAAACAGCCTGTTCCCTGCTGACTTCATKAGGGGACCCTTTACAACCAATTCCCCATGGATTACATTATGGGGATGGGAGGTGCCCAAAATTGCCTTCTTCCACATGGAGAACTGCAATTCCTGTCTTGTAGAACTGAGAGCTGTGGATGCTGCATCCAGGTGCTTAAATATCCGTGTGTGCACACATGGCACACGGGTGAGGGCTCAGCTGCTTGGAGAGAAGGGAGGTTGTTGGCTCACTCAGTCCTCAGGTCTGGGGCTCAGCCTTTGGTCTCAGAGTGGACACCCTGGTTTCACCGGTGGGGTTGGGACCGGTGGGGTTGGGACCGGTGGGGTTGGGACCTGCCTGGTCAGGTGCGGATCTAGAACAATTTGACAAGACATCAGTTCCACCCTATGGCAAAATGTGCATCCCAACTATACAGTTTTCCAAGTCTCGTGTTGCTGGCAATGCAACAGTAGCCATGGTGTTCCACATTTAAAATATTAGCAATTTTTATTTTTAATAATCAATTTGCCAAAGAAAGTGCTTGAAACCTTGCTTTTGTAACTGTGAAGCTATTCCGTATGCTTTCCCTCTTCCTACATTTTTTTAAAAGCTATTAATCCGATGAATATGTGTTAGGTCTGTGGGAATGCTTCTGAAAAAAAAAGGCTGTTGTATTTTTATCCAAAATGTCACTTGTACTTATTTTTTTTTTTTTTCCCATGCTGGTAGTAGATCTCTCATGTAGCATCAGTACTGTTTGTTCAAGTAAAGAATGCATAAACAGGCATACGTTTCAGGCACTTAAATGTGCTTAAAGAGATTATGGGAATGGCTGGATAGATAGTTGTATTTTGTGAATCTTGTTGTATTGATGTAATTTGTGTAATGTCTRTTAGTGTCCTCCCAGAATGAGATTTTTATGCAGATTCTTCAGAGGGGAAGGAGCAACGTAGCTGAAAAACTAAACTGCAGTGTCATTGAGGGAACTCATATAAAGTAGAAAAGTCATCTTTTTAGCAGCAATCTGGCCTTTCATTTGTTTTAAGCCTAGTACTGTGGCTGACTCTGAATAACAGTAATACTGTTGAAAATAGAAAAGGGTCAAATTAGCAGGTTTTGGGCAACCTTCCTGGGAAGCCTGTGAACTTTATAGGCTGAGCTTGTGGGCTCCACCTTCCAGGTGTCCCTGCTGGAGCAGGGAGCTGGACTGGATGGTCCTAGAGGATGGTCTAGAGGTCCTTTCCAACCTCAACCATTGTGTGATTCTGTGTGACCCAGTTTTCCTTGTGAAAATGGGCAACCGACTGGAATGTGTCCCTCTCCTAACAAAAGTCTCTGAACACTGTTAATGGATCGGTGTATGAAAATGAGTATAATTTAAATGAGTCACTAAGAAGGAACTTTGTAGAACATTCTCATTAAAATAAACCGTGAAAGCAGATACYGTCTTTCATCATAAAATAACCTCTAAAATCACAACCCTTTTGAATTGTGAAAGCTGATATTATTTTAGGCATTTTTGTGTTGATGCTGAAAGAAGAATGGATGGTTTGAAAATCTATCCTGTAGTGATTTGTCCTAGACCTTATTTGTCAGATGTCTGGCACGTTACAAAATAAGTCCAGATGTGCTGTATTCAGTGAGAGCTGGTTTAAGGCAGTATGCTGAAAGGGTACGGTTTTGTATACCTGCCATAAGAAAATAAAATCCTTGAAGAGAATTATGCTAATACTGCCTCAGTCTCCTTGGGGAGCTGTTTGCAAAACAGCTTGCTCATAGCAGAAAAGCTTTTGGAAACTTGTATATGATTTTTTTGTCTTCCAAAGATAGAGTTTTATGATAATTAATTTGTTAGGTCTAGTCTAGAAATTTCCACTTGTTCTGTGAGGGCTAGTATGCTAGTACCAAAGAATAAAGCACTATCAGATACTGAAAAGACTGGGGATATTAAATGAAGTAGCAGAAAATAAAGAACTTAATAGACCAACAAATATCCATTTGGGGAATAAAATATTTTTTATTTTGTTTTGTTCCAGAAGAACTCTTTATGCATGGTTTCTTCTACTGTTCATGAACATAAAGTTAAGCGTAGGAGGAAATATAAATAATTTATAATCCTGACTGAAAAAAATGGGGAAGAAATATTAAGAAATGTATCTTGTGCCTTAGATAAAAATGCTTACATCTAGTTGGTTTGAAAATATAAGGCTTCAGGCAACCTCCTTAATGGATTTATTTTAAAAAAGCATGGAAAAAAACCCAGCTGTTTAACATCATCCAAAAACAAAAATAGACAATGTTATTAGTGAAAGTTACAGAAAGATTTTCCAGAAACTGTGAAACCATGTTCCCTTTACAGTTAAATCCATAATATTTGCCACGTATTATCAAAGAATGGAAGATTTATTTAAGTTGTGTAAGTTGGGATAAAACCCCATGTTTATAACAAGTTCTATGTGTCTTGGTTTCCATGACATTCAGGTGTCACTTTAGGTCCCTAGAGTGGGTGCCTGCGGGATTGAGGTAGATGCCAGACTGGAAGGTGTAAGGCGGAAAGAGATGGTTGAACTGGAAAGGAGGGCAAGTAAAGGACAGGTAGGACAGGGGTGTCTAAATAATGCAGTAACGTCCCGTAGCTGATGGATCATGTAGTTCCCAGACACAACCTCAACTCGGGAAGCTTGGAAGGCATTTGAAGGAAATGAAATAATTGAGGGAGTTAATAGAAGAAGTCGGACTGATGTCCCTGGAAAAGCTAAGGAGCTAGTCAGGCTTGTAATAAACATAATTAAAAAAAAATAAAAGGTGAATAAACATTATATGAAATTTGTAGAAGACCAAATTGATTGATTATGGGGAGTAATATAGTCTAACTCATGTATAATGACAGAAATTTGGGTTTTGACTATTTTTTAGGCTATTCTGGTTGCAAATTAAATGCTGAGTCTTATTGGTATTATAGCTGAATATATGATAAACATGAACCATTTAAAATAAGCTTTCTGAACAGAGGAAGAAAAGAGAATCTAGAACTGCCACCTCCTTTTTTATTTCATATGAACCAAATGTTGTCTGAAAGTTTTGCAAGGGACATCCCCAAAGGCATTTTTTTTTTCCTGGACCAGTGAATCATGAATTATTCCATAGCATTTATTCTGTTACTCCCAGTGGGTGGCAATTTTCCCATTTGTAGTAGCTCCAAACATTGTGTTTCCCTTAATGGCAGAAAAATTGCATGACAGTTCTGTTTCATATTAAGTTTTGATTAAAGACAGGCATTTGTGATAATTCGAGTTACAAGATACACTTCACAAAAATTACATTTTTATTTTGCAAATGGAATAAAACTGTTTCAGCTCATGCTTTAGAATAAGAATACATCTTTTGATAGTTACAGTAAGATTTCTGTGATGGCTTATTTAGTGCTATGTCACCCTAATAAACAGAACTTCCTGTGAAAAGTGTTTTATTACTCGTGGTGGAAAAAAAAGCCTGCTCGGATTCTGAAGACTTATACTGCATGTGTAACCTCTCTCTGTTTGGAAACAAAGTTTCTAATACAATTATAAAACTTGGTTTGGCTTTTAACTTAGAGTTAGGGAAGAAACTCAGGATAGCTAAACTACTTTTTAACCTTCTCCTTTGGGAAAGTGCAAGTAATTCTAATTGGCATGACCAGGTGTTATACTATGTATAAGGAAGTAATAGATTGGGAGTACATATTGAGAGGGAAATTTAATTTATTTTTTTAGGCATGCTGGACTTGATCCTACAGAAATTAGTCTTTACAATTGCTGAACCATGGAAGCTATATAGGAAAGTAACTCTCACGGGGAAAAAACTTTGTTTTATGACCAAATTAGCCACTTCATTCCCCTTCTTCAGTGCCAAATGACATGTGGTGAATAACTGTGAAAATCCCCACCCCATGTATGCTGGGAATCACCCAGATTAGTGTAAGCAATAGATTCGTTCTTAGCTGTGTGAATGCCAGTGAGCTATACAGAAATTTTAACGGTCTGGAGCTGGTCCCACCAAAATAAAACCCTAAATTATATTCACTTAAGCAGAATCAAAGAAAGAAAGAGAGAAAGAATGAGAGAAAGAAAGAGAAAGAAAGAGGGAAAGAAGGAAGGAAAGAAGGAAGGAAAGAAAAAGAGAGAAAGAGAGAAATTATGACTTAGTGGCTTAATTTTACTATTCTTTGATTTTTTTTCTTTTTTGCTATTGAAATGAAGATAAAGTTAAATGACTTGTATCACTGATTCCTTTTAGGCAAGAACGATCAATACAGCTCAGCAAAATGTTGAATTTTTCCTCTTTGGCATGCTTATATGTTCATAAATAATTCTCAGGATTGTGTATGTGGAGTAGTCCCCTGTCTGCCCTGACACTAGCACAAAGATATAACCACAGATGGCTTTAGTATGTCCCTTCAGTAGAAAAGGTTGCTGGTCATTAGTATTAGTATTAGATGGTCATTAGTATCTGGAAGGCAGGTGTCAACTGCAAAAATAACTGAGCTACCCTTTCCAAGCCAGTGTTGCACAAATGGGATTCTAAAAGAAAAGAGTCATGTGGTTCCTATTTGGTACTTTCATGTTGAAGGAAAACTCTAGGCAGGTTACTGTATCCGTGGGTTTTCATGTTTGCAGATGAAACTTTTTTATTTTTATGTTTTTSTATTTTCTGCCCATTTTTGAACTCTACTCACAAATGTAAGGACATTTTTTTTCAATATATTGCTTTATGGAGAAACTATTCTACATATTTTAAAGATTTTATTTGTTTCTTTCTCTCTCTTTTTTTTTTTTTTCCTTCTCTGCAGGGAATTCCTGGAATCCCTGGAAATCAAGGAGCAAAAGGACAAAAGGTATTAATAATAGTTTATACCGCAATTACAGCCAGTGCATATATATACATATACAAATATAYATATACTGTTTCCAAACTATGGGTTCTGTTTGCCCTGAAGGGAGAATATTTGGAGTGGCAATATTTGCAAATATCTCATTTAGTCTTACTTTTGTGATTTCAGGAATGCATGAGTGAGTGAAAAAAAAACAAACAAAAATAAACAGCAAAATCTTCTAACACTTTGAAAAATATTTACAGGGTGAAATTGGACCACCAGGGCAGCCAGGAGCAAAAGGATCTCCAGGGGAAACAGTAAGCAATACCGATCTTAGATCAGGAACTACAAATAATTTTATGTAATTGCATTCAGCACACAGAATGAATATTCCCTGTCAATGGGAAAAACAAGGTAGCTCATTGATATGTGCATGCATTCTGATGAATGACAACAGGGGTAAAGATACTTGTTTGAAGGTAGAGTCCAGATTTATCTGTGATTTCCATTTGTTCATGCTGGTGATCAGCTTTCTAACATCTAAAGAGACAAAAAGTACAAGATTCCTATAATTACTTTCATAGCATTGTTTTGATAAATAAATCTAACGTGAACATATAAACTAAAACATTAATACAGAACTGACACATGAAGATAGAAAGCATTTTGCAAAAAATAATCTTGGAACATTAATCATTCAGTCTATCTGAAAGGGTAGGAAAATTAAAGGAAACAATAAAAAAAATGGACTAAGCAAAGAGACTTAAATAGTAGCAAGGGAAAAATATTCTGGACAGAATTTCAGAAAAATCCTTAGGAATAAACATATGAAGAGGAGACTGAGCAGCTTGGAAGTGGAAGTCTGTTTTGTGGGTGCAGATGGCACTGACTTTTTTTTTTTTTTTTTTTTTTTTTCCTGAATAGGGAAGCTATCCTTAGAAGTTGTTATATTTCATCTATCAATAGCAGATGACAAATGGCAAATGTAGTTTGTTAGTTCAGTGGCAGCTTTGAAGTTTGGAGATTTTGGGTGCAAACTGTTCTCTCTGCTGCCTTTGCTCTTACTTTAAGCCACTTGCTATTTTGGCATCAGGTGAGAGAATATTACTATGGATTCTTGGATTTTGGAGATTACTAACAGAGATTGTCCTATTCACTTCTATCACTTTGCTGTCTCCTAATTTACCTATCTCATCTTCTTTCAAGATCTTTCCTTTTGAAGATGCTTCATCAGTGGAGAGTTTTCTTTTGCTCTCATGACCTGTCAGACCTGATTACCTCCATTCCRAAAGAGGAAAACTTCTCTGTGGCTGCTTTCCAGTGCTGAAATGGAAGGCCATGAAAAGCTTATTTTGAACATAAATCCATGTCTATATCTCTAAGATCTAATGCAGGACAGTGAATGGCTYTCTGAAAGAGGACCAATTGGCATTTCTTCACCAAATTCCTTTATGGTGATTCCATTTATCAGCTCTTTTGTTCCCACCTCTACCTCTACTGTTGAGCACTGCACAACAACTGTCCAAATCTGGTCTGTATAAAGCAAGCATGCTTGCAATCTTAGAGGACTTTTCCTGCCCWTTATAGACCTCTGGAAAAAATACATTTCCTCAAGAACCAGTTACTACAATTGTCTGTCTCACAGTCGGCAGAAACATTACCTGAGAGGGGGACAGTGCAAAGCATGACTTCTCTCTCTACCTTTCCACCTTATCTTTAGCAGAAGCATTCTGTCTCTTTGCTAACAGATGCACATTTGGTCTCTAACCTCTGATTTTTTTCCTTTGACTGTCAGTGGAGAATTTTGCTCCCTTCCTCCTGAACAAACCTGAACAAAACACTCAAAGTGAGGTTGCAAATATAATAAAACCATGTGGGATTTCGAAGGATATCTACTTAGTCAATAATTCACCAACCATTCAGCTTCATATATTCTTTAGATAAGTAACATCTGGTTCTGTAATACACTTGAAATAATTTATTAATGTTTCCTATCAACTTATTTTAATGCATCTTTTGTCACCTGATAAAATAAGTAGGAAATTGATGCATGGAATATATGAGTATTTTTTATATCATGAGGGAATTTCAACCAGAAAGGATAGTGAGATTTTCCTTGTGTTAGTCACGCTGACTATGTTTGTTCCAGAAAAAAAAAAAAAAAAGCAGATGGAAAACTTGTGGATGCACTATTAATACTGCAGGGAAAATCCCCAGTAACAAGTTCTTCAGTAATGAGTATCCTTAATATGTTGCCAGCTTCAGCAATTTGTTAATTTATCTGACGCATAAATAATGATAGACCTGGAAAATGGGGAGGTAACACTATGTTTTCTGTGCTTGTCCTATGTTTTCTGTCCTTGCATAAAAATAAATTTTTATTTATTTTCTGTTCAGGACATACTCTTCTCTCTCAATTTTTATGCCATAGGTTTCAAATTATGTTCTCAAGCTCTTATATTGTGTGAGAGAGTTTCTTTTTTGATTCATGCTGATTCAATGTAGCTATCTTACTGCAAATTTTTAATGAAATGCATTAAATATGGCCTAGTAATAAAAGTGAAGAAAGGAATCAGGACAGCTTGGTTTTATCTCTCCTTTTCCTGCCCACATATACCTGACTTTATTATATACTGTCTGTTGTCCGATTTGCCAGGTATAATGGAGTTTTAATTTGTAACTGTCTGTATGGGAAAGTCTGACCCCCAGGACAATTAGCAGGGAAGTTACTTTAGTTTTAGTCTTGTGATTTATGCCTTTTAGTCTGTGCACTCACAGCCCTACATCTGTGGTCCAAAGAGCAAGTTGCTCATTTTGTTGATAGAAAGTAAAAATTGGGTATCTACTAGCTTCTTATAACACAGCAAGAAAGAAGCCTGAGTTATCTGGGTTGCCTCACAGATGAAATGCTATAAAATTGGTGAAATGCTTATTAAAACCCTGGTACTATGAATTACCTCATATTCCAAATATTTTGGTTTTCCTTTTTCATTTTTTGGCAAAACTGAGTTCATAACATTTGTAACAAATTGCTATTTTGTTAWTTATTTTTCATCACACATAACATTTGAAGATCTGGGATAATGTCATTGTCAGTATATTCTGAATAGTCCTGACATTTAATACTGAATAGAAGGTGGGTTTTGTATTAGGTTACATAATAAAAATAACAATGGCTCTTGGAAATACTAACTAGAAGCACTGATAAATCTTAATCTCTAACAAATTAAATTTCATGGCCTAATTTAAATATTTGACTTTCTGTATGCTTGTATTTTAGGCTGTATCTTAGTATATAAACTTTAACGGTAGATCGTGTTTCATAGTATAGATGCACATCCAAATAAAACAAGAATAATGCATTGTTTTTGTTGACACATGGAGTTCTAGAGTCAAAAGAAGTGAGATGAAGTGATGAGGGAGACATATATTAACAACAGATGTGGAAAATAATAAAAATGGGAATTCTTTCTTGGAAAGAAAGATGATTAAAAWTATGACCTCTCTTTTAAAGTATACTTGAAAGTAACTTTAAACAGGAAAAAAARGGGGGGAGAGAAAAAAAAATCCAAGCTTTTGATGTTTAATATCCTTTAGTTCATAGTTTGTGTATGACCAAAGGTGGCTAAAYGTGCTTTTACCAACACATGCCCATCAGTCCATGAGGTCATGTGTCATGTGAAATGGTACGAGCTGGTTCAGTTCTGAAGCCTCTGCACATGGAGTGACAGCGTGGCCCCCAAGTTAACTGCTCTSCCTAAATGTCCCCAGAGTTTGGAGATGGAGTGAAGTCTTCACATTCACAACCTTGAGAAAGGCACTGTCAGAAAGCYGCAAGTGAGCCCTGAAATACAAGTTGTGCTTCCATTGCTTTGGGGAACCCAAAGAGAAACTAAGAAATTCTTTCTTGTGTCGCTTTCAATTATAGCTAAGGATCCACTAAGTGTAGGTTTGGTTTTTCTTTTCCCATCGTGTAGAAGTGTCGCTATACTTCCTTTAGTCATTGAAGGCCTACTACTGAGCAAGACTCTATTTTCTATCTGCTTATTTCATTATAGTCATGTATGTGAAAAATAATATTTTTACACTGTAAAACCCATTGTGCCTCTAGCTTGTTTTAGAATTGTCTCTGCCTTTTCAAAAATAACTAGGGTTTGATGGGACCAGAAGGCTCATTTGGTCTACCTGGAGTTCCTGGGCCTAAGGTGAGCATTTGTGCTGTTTTTGTTGTGACTTCATCAATGACAAACTGGAAGGATTCTGAGTTTTGCAGCTAGTTGTTCAGTATATTGAGGATTAGAAAGTAAGCATGTGGTTTTTTATATATTACCTAATATGACAGTTCAGTATCTGTGCCCAAGGGAGCTTAACTCAACTTAGTGAATGGTGTCTGTCATCTCATGAAGCTTGAAATTCCTCCAGAGATGCTCATGAGATTTTGTTTGAGCTGCACAGTCCTGGAAAATGTTCTCCCATGCTAGCAGCCAGGGAGTTCTCAGTACGCACCAGAACGCCTGTGCTACATTTATTTATATTTTAATTGTGTTAAATAAAGTTACGGGCTGCGTTTTCCATCGAGGGAGCCAAATGTATCTCAGATATCACATAATTGATTGCACTTCAGCTACAGCAAGAATTAATTTGACCCATGCTCTCAGAAACTAGTATAGACACTATAAATCCTTATCTGTTAGTGYAACTGTTTAATTTTATCTGAGGTGAGTTTTGGCTAGTAATCAGTGAATTGTATGTCCTAGAGAATATTTATGAATACAGATTCAATTTCTCAAACTTTGTAAATACATGTAGCTCCATTTCTACATCCCCATTTTATATCCACATTTTATATCCCAAAGTAGAGACTTATTTAAAATTGCATGCTAAAGGTAACATTATTTAAAGGGGACATTTTGCCTTTGTCAAGAAAACTGAACATSTATGATATAACAACAAAAAAAAGTTTTATTTTATTTTGGGAAAAATATGCCTTTGTACAAAAAAGTCCCCGATATATTTATCTAATTCTTACAGAAAAGTGTGAAAAAGCATACACATTCTTAGATTTTATTGAAAGTTTAATACTAAATACGCAGCTAATAAAAAGCAAATGCAACTTTGTTTTTGTATTAACATATATAAACTTCAATAAAAAGCAAAATATAAGTGTATATTTTGGCTCAGACAAATTCAAGATTTTTGAGAGTCTTATTAAATGAAGTGAAGTCAATATAAACAAATATGGCATGACTGGGCAAGGAAAATGGAAGGCACTGGTGAGCAGAGGTAAGGTCTGTTTTGTCATCATTATGCCTTTCCTAAAAGAGGGCTGAAAATTCAGTTTTACAGAATGAAAATTGAACTTTATCCTTCTGGTCATTTGCTGTAGCTGTTTTTAAGGGCAGATTTCCCATCAATGTCTGTTTATATTTGGTGTTAATACCACATGTGACAAAACATACTGATGCACCAGCTGCTCTCATGTTGTTTTATAGGGTGATAAAGGTGAACCTGGAATACAGGGAAAACCAGGATCACCAGGAGCCAAGGTAGGTATGCATATGGAAGTAATCTAGGTAAAGGAGAGATGGAAAGTAAATATTTTGTGTGATTTACTTCTTAGTTACAATACATAGGTACTTGAATACTAAGGAGAAGAATTAGGATCATCTTTTGTGGCAATAAGCAGCTTGTCTTTATTCAACATCCCTTCCCAAGTTCTCCAGACATTTTATTTATCCTAGGTTACAGAATTTCAGAATATCATAGCTGAAACTATGAAGTGATCTTGAAAAACATTCAATATTTGTTCTTACACACGACATCATTGATATTTATGGTGTTATTGTATTAATCAGGGAGAACTAGGAGGATTAGGTGCTCCAGGAGAACCAGGCTACCCAGGTATCCCAGGCACACAAGGTATAAAGGTAAGAGGTTTGTTTTTTAATGGTTTTACATTGATTACAGAGCTTTTCTTATAAGTGATCATCATTAAATGAAAATGTTTCTTTTTAATACATTTTTATTGGACAATAGTTAGTAAAGTTTGCAAGTTTTGTTCTCTAGAAAACCAATCACTCCTCATAGAGGAGAAAGAAAGACCAAAAGAGAGAAAGAGTTAAAATAAACTGTTTTAAAGTAGATATTAATGGACATTTCGTTATGAACTATAGTGGTATAGTGTATATGCTGGTATAATGGTATGGTATATATGTGTACGATATATACACRTATAAGGATATGATCTTTGTATTCTATCTTCTTCTCACAAGTACTATATAGATAAAGTCTACCCTACAAAGACTTTTGTGGAGATCCCCCAGGAACTGGAACAGTTCACTGTATGGARCTAGGACAAATTAATCTCCATGAGCCTTAGCCCATGGTAACTGATCGTATCAGTTAGTACAGGTTCTCTCCGTATYTAGTTGAGGGAGTCTGAGCTTCTCAAGGGTCATTATTCACATCTTTATTACATGGCTTTCTTAGTATGGGATGCATCTGGAAGTACTTAAGTATTACCCTTTGACTGTAGAAGAATCCTAGACAATTGACTAAATTAAATATTGAAATTTTAGATGGTAGAGATTACAGAGAGATCAAGCTTCTGTGGCCAGTGTTGGAAATTTTATCTTCTTTTCAAATAAGAACTTGTGTTTTTTCTTCTTGCAAGTTGAGTTCTCACAGAGATCACGCCTTCAGGATCTTTCAGTCTCTTGGTGCAACATTGCATCTATCAAGCAGTATCAGAAACATGTGGCTGTATTGAAATTCTGAAGAAGTGCTGAAGAATTGTTTTGTGAAAACATTGCAAAATTTAGTATTGACACTTGAATCTTGTAATAGTTACCCTTATTTTTAAAGCATAGATACATATTTTATGACAATCAAATGTCTTTAAAGAGTCTCAGGTTTTTCTGAAATCTGCATAATTTCAAAATATTAATATTACTTTAGATACTCTATTTTGAAATTTTCTTCTACAGGACATGTTGTTGAAACTTCTTGTTTTTTTTATCAGCCAATAAGGCACTACTTTAAATTTGACTGTGAGCTAAAAACAGCCTGCAATAAATCTATTTTTCAAATGCTAACTTTTTGTCCTTTACTGTTACTCACAGAATCACTGAAGTGTGAGAGGAGATTTTTCTTGAGGAAAAATCAACTATGTTATAGAGTAGTTATAGAGTGAGATTTAAGATGGGATTTAAGAAGTTGCAAATTAGAGGTAAATTAAAATTATTATTGACTATGTCCTGTTGGCAACTGGAAAGATTTTTATCAGAATTTAACAAAACTGCATTTTCAAGATGATGTTATTTCAGGGTGGCACCTTGATTCAGTATCACTTGACCAAGAAAATAGAGAAAGTTCAGGAATTTATTCTTTCCATATACTTTWAAGTAAATTAATATGAAGGAAAAAATACTGCTCTTTTTAGTTCCCTGTGATCTTCAAATGAAAAAAAAAAGAAAAAGAAAAGATTTGGGGAGAAAATTGAGAAAATTTCAGTGTTGAAGACCTTGCAGTATTTGTGGTTAGCTTGAGTCAATAAATTCTCAAAGCCAATTCTATTGCTGCTKATCTATTACTTCTGATTGTAGCTGAAGTTCTGATTTATATTCATTACATGTTAACTTCAGATTTCTTTATTCTGGAGAACGTTAATGGAACAATATGTGTATCCTGAAAAAATAAATGTTTCATTGTTTTCCAAGATAATGAGTACTGCTATTACTTTCTGCATTTCATTATATTTCTATGGGAAAACATTACAAATTGGCCAAAGAAAATATCTGTAAAAACTGAGTTCCTTAATTGGTGTATGTGAATATGAGGCTTCTTTTGCTGTTATACTATGTCTTTGGAATGGATGTTAAACAACAGATTTCTTTCCGTAGGTTCTTAAAATGTAATTTATTACAATTGAAAAGCTCCACCTGAAATCTCTCTAGCTATTCAAATAACAAGTAATTCAAGCAACAAGCTCTCAAGGTTTAAAATGTTGCTGTATTTGTCATCAGCCCAAATTATACCTTTGAGCTTGTAGAAATATTTATATGAAAGTAAATTAGGTGTGCTTAAGTCATGTAGCTGACGTGTTGTTAGAAGCTTAGCAGTATTTCCTGCAGAGTAATGGAATAATGGAGTGTCAACTAGGGCAAAGATTTCTCCTGAAACACCTGTGTAGAAACACCAGAACTGTAGAGAAACCCCCTTCTGAAGAGACATTTCAGAATCAGAGTTGAATCAGATATTTTACTGTAGAAATAAGCAGGGGAGCAAAGCAGTGAGTTAGAAGGGGGCTGTTGTGTTTAAGGTTTTGTGGGAAATGTCATGAGGAGCTACTTGATAGACTATAGCTTCTGCTCCAGAAAGCCACAGGTCTACCGAATGTCACCTGTCGTATGTGCCAGCTGAATATGGATATATTAGGCTATAGCATTTGAATATGGGGTTGCCTTAAGTTGTCTAGAGCATCTTAGAAAGTGCTGTGTGTGTAGGCAAAGTCAAGGGGAAGTCAAGTCCCTGGTCAATGCAGACAAGGGAGGCTAGATGGCAATCCAAATTTAGGTGAAGGTGTCTGAATCTGAGTTCCTTTTTCCACCGCCAAATGTGGAGAAATTATTCTCTTGACAGGTTTTGAGGCAGTGATTTCTAGATCATGTAAAGACAAAAGCTTCCGGGCTGAAGTCTTTCACAAAACACTGAAACCACTGGAAGTTGAGCCAACTGGAAGTTGAGCCAACATCGTAACAATAGTTTAATTAGTTCCATTATCACCATAAGCTCAGTTTCAATATCTAGGGGTCAAATAGGGGCATGTGCTAATTTTAAGAAGGGAGATTTTATGTGGAACATCTTTAAACTTTGAATTGAGGATGGTATGTTTTGAAAAAAAGCATATGTATAGAGATGCAAGTCAGGCTATGCGTTGCAGGTTAACTGAAGTTACAACTCATGAATATTGACATCTCAAAAAAGTACAGTTTGGACATATGACAATAAGATTGAAGCCCTTTGGTTAGAGTTTATTTTAACAAAACCAAGTAAAATATTTCATATTCAAGTACAATACAGCCAAATACAGTTGGCATAAATGCCTTCCTATCTTGAGGTATTTTTGATCAGGAAAATATTTGCCATTGCAAAGATATTGTCTCTGCATTTAACTAAATAGTATCTCTTAAAAAAACAACAAAAACAGAAACAAAATAACATGCACACATTTGACTCTTACTAGATAATTGGCAAAACAAAACCTCCACCCAGTATCTTTTCTTTATGAGAAAATTTTGCATGGCCCCCATGGTTCCATCTTTTGTTTTTTAAGTCCCACACTGACTTAAGATGTCACAGGTCATAATGCTAAGCTAATGGCACCTGGCACAAGTATTTTACATGTCTGTTGCTAATTTTGCATTTTTGCAAAAAAATTTTGCATTTTTTTTTCAAGAGCTGCCTGTTTCTTTCCACTGGCAATTAGTTGATGTTCACTGGGTAAACTGGGTGCCTGGCTTTTAAGTACCATTTGCACCATTCCATTGCTTACCACCCCAGTAAGTTTAAGGTCAAGAGGAGCAAGTTGAAACTAAAACTCAGTCATTGCACAGTTTTGATTAAATATAAATATTTTTTATAGTTTAAAAAAATCTGCCTTTTTTATTTCTTTGTGGTGCAAAGTCAAATTTAGACATTTAATGGCCTTGTAGTAAACGTTACAAAAATTATTTATACACTATTCTCTGTGGGGTAAAGGCAGACATACATAGTGGTTTGTGTCCGAACTGAATTTAATCCATTAAAAACTAATCCCTTTCTTCTGTATGTACACTCTTGAACACTGTCTGGCTTTGTTGTATTTTTTAATATTAACTGGGTATATGAGTATTATTGGTTCTCTCTGTAGAAGATTTCTTTCTTACTGTGATGCTCAGGACTTCTGTGTTTGTGTACATGGGATAAAGTAGTTTATTTTCATTCAACATAAATAAAGGCCATTAGATGCTTCTCTTATATTTACTGAATTAACTTAGAGCAGAGACAACAAGTCTGTGGGATGAATCATGTTACAGTGGAGGCTTTTCTTCTAATGTCTTACAGGGAGACAAAGGAAGCCAAGGTGAAAGCGGGATCCAGGTATACCAACTTTGTTTCTAATCAAAATAATTTGCCAACAGTGTTAATGTAAGTGTAAAGGTTGATTCAAGAGAATTTAAAAAATGAAGCTGCTTGGAGGGTATGGTTGAAGATGGCTCCAGCCATGACGCACACGGCTGCTCAGGACGTGGGGGAGTCACCTTGCGCCATCTGGGGCTGGCCTAAGGACAAGCTGCCTGCTACACCTATAAGCTCTCCTAACCCAAGTAACTAAACTGCCCCCCCCCGCCTATGATATTATAACCAGTGACACTATCTACATATTTTAAAATACTCAGAAATTATCYGAATATTATTGAATTATTCCAAAATGTAAATATTCTAGAATTATCTRTCTTGCTAAGATGATTATATAAACTATGATTAATGCAAGAAAAGGAGAGTATCCTGTCACTGCTCAGCTGCTAAACTTGTTCTGTGTATTCAGGGAGGACACTACATCTTCTCAGCATGGGTTCTCTTCTACTTTGAGCTCTTCAAGAAAATAAGCCTGTAGATTCATTGAGCTCAGTTTAAGATGAGATTATAGGATTTACCTCCTTGTATTCTTTTCAACAGGTTAAATCTTCCTCCCAAGTAACTGTATGTTTTAAGACTGTCCCTTTTTTTTTTTTTTTTTTTTTTTTTTTTTTTCTGAAGGGACAAAAAGGAGAGAAAGGAAGACAAGGAATCTCAGGCTTGCAGGTACTGTTAAAATAATGAGCTCAGCTCTAGAGAGCCACAATTCGTATTCATTTCATAAGATTGCTTCCATCACCATGGGTAGCTCTTTGCATCAGATAAAATATATTTAATGTAAGTATTTATCTGACTAAAACAATGACTATTTTAAAAATAACAAGTGCAGCAAGTTTGTAGAGAAGACAGAGCCACTGTCTTCTCAKAGGTGCGTGGTGGCGGGACAAGAGGAAATAGACACAAGCTGGAATGCAGGAAATTCCAGCTTGATGCAAGGGAAAACATTTTGCCATGAGCGGGGTCAAACACTGGAGCCGGATGTCCGGAGAGTCTGTGGAGTCTCCATCCTTGGAGACACCCGAACCCCAACTAGAGATGACCCCAAGCTGCTTACTCCAATGGGATCTGCCCCGAGCAGGAGCATCAACCTTGRAGGTCCCTTCCAACCAACATGATTCTGTAGTTAAGAGAGATAATGTTTGGAGGAGAACGGAAGTGCATTTTCCTACGTAAGTTAATTAAATCCATCATGGTGGAAGATTTTCAAGAAACAGTTGCAAATAACATAAAATACCCAACAGTGCATAGGACCTTTTGTGAAAAGGTTATGAGTTGAACTCAACATTTTAAGGTTTTGCATGCAGCCTGCTACAGTTTTATGCACTTCATTAATTTCTGTAGTATTGGGAGTCATTGCTGACATCTTCTGTGCTCATAAATTATAGATGTTTCCCGTTTCAGCTGCGATGCTGTGAGATCCAGTTATTTCTCTTTCTTTTAACTCTGGGCCAGTGTATTTTGATTGTGTCATAGTTGGCTATGCAGAAAATTGCACTGCACAAAATAACTGTTAGTGTTTATAAATACTTGTTAACTACATAATCTATGTCATGTCTAAACAGAAAAGTATTTATTAGAGATACATAGCTGAAAGTAGGCTTGGAAGGAAGTCATAGTTATGCTTTTCAGAATTACGACATTGATACAGCTGCCTGTCTAGGCAGGCTGGGCTAATTCCARTGAAACAGGGGCAGAGCATCTACATTGTGTGTTAGCCTGGTGTTATCACWCACAGGGGTATGTGTCTGCCTTGACATAAGTCTGGTAGTAAAGCTGAACAGAAATTTTTGAAAAAAAAAAAGAATTAAACTAAAAGGCCAACAGTTTTTTGTAACCAAAAGTGTAACATCCTACTCTAACACTTTACAAATTATTTTTTTATTTTGAAAATAATGAGCATATTTACATAATACTTATTATTTTAAATAAAAAATAAAATGACAGTGAAAGAACATTTTATTCAGATAGAATCATACAACCTGAACTGTTATTTCTAGCTTTTTTGAGAAAGCTGAAAAAATATTATGAATTTAGTCTAACACTATTTTCCCACACTTATCTAGTTTGGCCAACAACCAGAAAAATTAGTCATTCAGATAGTTTTGGTAGGCAATGCTATTTGTGGGTCCTTCCCCAAGTTTCTGGAAGCTTCAAGACTTCTCAAAGATACCATGCATATTCCTTTGCCCATAAGAAACCATCAGAAAAGTGAAAAAATGCTGATCTGAGCTGACATCCTGCCATGGACCTGAAGGATCAGTAACTCCGTTGAATCAATTGGCGGAAAGGACACTGGAGCTGTTGGCCAAAATGCAGCCTCTGGCATACACACTGCATCAGCATTTCAGAAACTCTGAGCTTAATTTCTGCTTAGTAAGGCAGTATTAAACAAATAGAATCCAGAGTTTCCTTTAGGTAGACAACAGAATTTTATTTCTTTTGTGTTTTGTTGAGTTAGTAACACTTTCTCTAGTCACTTCTTATACATTAGCTATAATATATAGCTTATATTATGTACGACATATTCCCAGCTTATCTTGTAGTACATGATATTAAAGGTATTACAAAAGGGATCACAGAGCCGTTAAAATTAACATTTGTGATTATTTTTTAAATACAAAAATATCATGGTTTTGTTTCCAGGTAACTAGCTTTGTTAATATTTGTGTTTTGTATTACTTTCTCAAGGGGCCAAAAGGATTGCATGGAGAACAAGGAGAGGTATGTACTTTGTAACCACAAAGTTGCATAAGTATTCTATTTTTTCCTGCAAATTATTTGATTTGTAAAGTGAATGTTCATGATTTTATTTCTGTACTCTAAGAGAAATTACTTGAGAAATATCAGAGCAGGGAAAAAATAGGAGTTAAAAAGAGACAAAGTATATGTTTATGAAATGCAAGATTTAAACAAAGAATTTTAAAGGCAAGCATTGCCTCTAAAAGAATTAAAAAGACAGAGAAGATGCTGGCCGAAGAAACTAAATAATTGAATTTTAAAAAATCTGGAAGCTTAAAGTTCATTGAAAATAGGAAATAATTCATAGAAGAATACTGAATATTTGATCAAAATGGTCCATCTACTCCAATATCAGCAGCATTCAATATAGCTTAGGATGTAAATGTAAGGAACGGGACACTTAAAGAACCTAAAGACACCTAAAGATGATCTTGTGTATTCTTGTGTACTGGGTTTAGCAGTCAGCAAGGAAGGAGCATTTACACTAACAGCTACATCCAAAACATTGAATTTAATGTCGTTCATCACCTTGTCTACTTCTTTCTGAACTATGCTGGTCTACTACACTTTTTAGTTTCCAGAAAAGTCTGTGGGAAGGATGTAGGAATAGCTCAACTATTTGAGTGTTTTTGGCTGTGGTTTCATAGATAATAATATTTTTAAAAAAGAAAAAAAAAAGAAAAAAGAAAAAAGAAAAAAGAAAAATGAAAAAAGAAAAAAGAAAAAAGAAAAAAGAAAAAAGAAAAAAGAAAAAAGAAAAGAATACAGTGGAGCGTTTATAACTATCTTTTTTTAGAGGATTATCTGGCGAGACTGGCTCTGTAAATCCCGGGCAGGGCTCTTGCTCTCTTATTAAGTTTGTACTGAACTCAGCATGCAACTTGAGGGGTTACATGTAAGGGGAAGCACATCTGGAGCATCATTGCCTGTCAGAACCTACATGATTTTTGGGAGTATTGATTTCTAGGAGTCTTCTACAAGGTCCAGCTTTATATTTTATATACTTTTTGATCTTCATGCTACATGTTGTTAAAATGCTGGAATTTAAATGATTTAAATAATTAATTTTCTTAGATTTTTTTTTAATTCCAGCATTGAAGTGAAAGTGAAATCAGGGTGCACACAGATCCATTAATGTAATTCTACTTCAACCTTGCTTAGAAATTTCTAGGTTCAGTTATTTTTCATTTTTGGTAATGTATTGTCATATATCTGTAACTGGGCATATTCCTTGGAAGCTCAGCTCAGAAGAAATAAGTAAATGTGTTTCTGCATTTAACTTTGTAAATTGTCTTATAGGCCTCTAGGGTTCTATTGAATAGTTAAAATCACAATTTGGCTAAGGTGCCTTACTAATTATAGCCAAAATTGTTTAAAGATTACTTTTACATCTACACGCTAACCCCTCTAAATTTAAATAATGATCATAGTATATTTCTCATGAAAAATCCTATTAAGAATATTCTTACTAAATACTAAAGCATGCCATGTGTTTACTTATCAGATTCCATAAAAAACTCCTCAATAAAAAGTTTCTTCAGTATTTAACTCTCAACAGTTACTGAAATCTTCTCTTTTTTGGGGGGGGGGGGGGATTTTTTTTGGACTTTTTTAGGATTGACAAACAAGGCCACACACAGGACGTGGCTGACCATTAAAAGATCAAAATATTCTGCAGAAAATGTTCCCTCAGCCATTCCATTTGCTTTTTGGCAAGTTCTGCAGGCAATTGTGCTGATGATTCCAGCATTTTGTCCTGATTTTTTTATATACACTGGCTTCCTGCCTGTAATATTTTCTACAATAGGTGCCATTTTCCAAATATTGTTAAGATTCCTAATATTTTCTAGCATTTTTAACATTTATTTCAAATGAAACAATTTACTACTCASATGTCTATATGCAAACTTAGTTTTTATCTGTAAACACAATTAAAATAAAAACATTATAATTTTTAATCTATTAGAAATATTTTCTTGGACCAGGTGTCCCACCTATGAATTCTAGAAATAATCCCACAGATAAGTAGATAGATAGATAGATAGATAGGTAATAGTTGGAAATCTATAAAATCAGCAGATTTTCGTAGCCCAGTCCTTGCAAGTTCTGCTATGCCAAGTCCCTATGACTACTACAATCAAGCTGGCAGCGTTGAGAAAATAAATATGATTACATCATTAGAAGAAATCAGTTCTGAATTAGTGCACAACTTCTGTCATGGGAAGAGGGTACAGACTGCTGTTGTTTGTGCACTTGTCTTCTTTTAGTGGTGTCCTTTATGCATATATAGTTTTGCCGTGTGTTTCTTGAAAGGTAGTAGAAACGGAAATAAAAATAAAGAGCTTGTAATAAATGAGTTGCAAGAAAGCTTGGAAGACCAGTGGCTTGAGTATGTTTTTGTTTAAAGGCTTTTCAGAGTAGAGTTGCACTGCCACACTGGCTTAACATTTCACTTACAGCAAACCTAAATGACTTAGTGGAAGCGCTTGGTTAACTTGAGCAAACTGTGATCCTTTTGTGGTGCCAGGTACACTGTAAAGTCTTTTCTTTTTTAATTCATGTAGGTATCAGTTACAATTTTCAGATAAAAAGGCATCTAAATATTTCTGCATAAAACTGAGTAAGCAGATGCTGGATTTGAAGCTAGCTACCCCAGAATATTCCAGAGGGAAAACTATGGTCATTGTTACTAATTCAGAGCCTCCACAAAGCTTTGAACAAATCATGTATTTTTCTGATGTTAAGAATTTTGAAAGTACTAGGTAGAACGGTACAATATAATAGAAATCACATAATTTAAAATCCAGAGTGAGCCTATAAAGAATATGTGTCTGAGTGGTTCTTACCCTTCCATAATTTGCCCAAGTAAGTTTTTTTTTTTTTTTTTTTTTTGTTATGTAGAGTAGTCCTGTTGCCTTTTTTTCATAGTTCCACATAAAATAGTTAGAAGAGATAAAGGAAAATATTAAAGTTGCTGATAGCACCATGCAGAAGCTGTTCAAAAATGTAAGGAAAAAAAATCACTAGAGAGCCAAGACAGTATACTAACACTAATCTAGCATGTACCACGTTGCATTGTACTGAAGTTCTGTTGGCTGTAAGTTAGGGAAAGAGTTACATCAAAACATCAACTATTAAAGTAGGTAATTCCATACATTGACAAATCATTGCTTTAATTGAAGGTATACCAAAATGTTTTCCAGCACGATTTTAAGCTTTTCCAGCAAGTCAAATGGACTACAGTTGTTACAAATCATATGGGGAGTAGCTTGAAGTTATGGAGGTCAGGAGAAAAAAAAATCCTAGTTGATATCAAATGTATTTTTCTGTATTTTTGTCTATTGATTACTTGTCTCTTGACTATTAGAGTAAAAGGGATTTCAGTGGAGCCAGAATTTCAGTTGTAATTTTTTCAGCCTTCTAAGAAGAATTTTAATAGACTGTAATGACTTAGATAATTTATCTTGAAAAAGTGAATAAAACCTTCTCCTCCGTATATGTTTAAGGACTTTTTGGTTTTTTATTTTATGTTAGTTAATAAGAAAAATTGATATGGTTAAGATTAAATTTAGGTATTTGAAGATTTTTTAAATTATCCATGATGACAATTTATTTCTAGATATATTTGGCAAATATCTGAAATAGTTATTAAATAACCCAAAGACTTCAGTATGTGCTAGTGAAATAGGCCTAATAATCAGTATCAAGTTAATTTTCAATGACTGCTCGATTGTGTTAATTTTATGAAGATGATCAATGGAGATTTTCTCAGATTGCATTTGCTTGGTCTTCCCAATGACCTGTGGAAAACATGATTTACGTTTTGTTGGTTTTGATTTCAGAAAGGCGAGAAGGGAGATCCCGGCATTCGAGGCATCAATGGACAAAAAGGAGAATCTGGTATCCAGGGCTTGGTTGGACCTCCTGGTATGAGGGGTCAGCCAGGAGACAGAGGACCCCCAGGACCACCTGGATCAGATGGAAAACCTGTATGTCTGGACCTCAGGCTTAACATTTTCAGCACCTAAATAAAAATTAAAAAAAAATGCAAGACCTCTAATTTTGTAACACTTCTATGTTCAATTCAGGCACGAGAATTTTCAGAAGAATTTATTCGGCAGGTGTGTTCAGATGTACTAAGAAGTGAGTTCCTCAGTTTGTCTATGGATCTTTCTAGACTAAAGTGCTAAAGAGGCTTCCTGATAACTATCGAGATGCTTTCTTGAAAGTAAGATCAGTAGTGTTGATGTATCACTGATCTATCTATCTATATATCTRTCTACATTTATTACTCTATCATAACCATTTCCATAACCATTTTGTTTTCAAAGGGGATTATCTCCTCCACAGAGAGGAAGATTTTCTGTTGTCATGTTTTGGGGGACTGATACTTTTGCATTTCTGATGGTGTTTGAGTGCCACAAGGCTCTAAGCAGTGTTTGTTTGGATTCCCCAGCCCAGTTGCCTGCCATCCTGCAGAGTGGGAGGCTGCAGAACTGCAACCACTGCCAGTCCCAAAGTGCCTCGCCGGGACTCCCAGGGCCACCAGGTCCACGAGGCCCAGAAGGACCTCGAGGGTTTCCTGGTTTGCCAGGAAATGATGGCGTTCCAGGTCTGACCGGTGTTCCGGGCCGCCCCGGCGCTCGTGGGATGAGAGGTACCACGTGCTTGGGTCCTGGTGCTGTTCCGCACTTGTGGTTTTTGTATGGAGGGAGAGCAGGGTGGGCTCTGGGAATGGCTGGGAATGGGTCTCAACAGGAACTTATTTGCTTTTTTGATCCAATAGGTTTTCTAGGCATGGGTCAAAATGCATTTCCATGTTTTCTAGAGTTTTCCCCCCCCCAAGCTTACTTTTTTTGTGCTATTTTAAAGGTTTTTAAAATGACTGGTATTTTTACCCTGTAGGCTCCCACTGGCATGTGATACCTTTATACTGTTCCAGTTTTTCTCAGGACTCTTCCATAACTTAACTTTTAGCAAATGCTAGCCTAATTTGTGTGGGTTTTCTCCCAAGGCTTTTTACTCTCTTCTTTCTAGTTTTCTTTAAAAATTTAGTTTCTTTTTTAATAATATTAGCAATGACCAAACTGGTGTCAATGTTTTTAGGTAAATCACCCATATGAGCATTCCCACTTTTGCTGCGTGTTTGTTTGCAAGTTAAAGCTTAAGTACACATATGCAGTCAGGAACTGTACAGGGATAACGAGTAATTTGGTAACTGTGGCCCCAGCAGCCGCTGTATTTTCTATAGCATTAAAATAATTAGGAAATCATCGCTAGCTACTAATATACCACAGCTGGACAGGCATAACTGCTACTCAGAATGTCCGTTTCCTTCATGATTTGATCATGATTTATCTGTAGTTTTTGCATTATTTCATCCCCACAATTTTTTTTTTCTGGAACTGATACTGAATAATCTTTCTGGCTACTCCATAAGAGATGGGAACATAGATGTCCTACAAAGAAACTAAATTCATGTGGTTGTACTAGCGTGAAAGAGAACAGATGTAGCTTCCCTTGGTGGAGGGGGATTTCTTCTTTGGTGGAGATTTTCATCCAGCTGAACACTTGGGAGGATTGACTCTGTAGTTAGTGTTTCACGGGGGTGGTGGTCAGTATCTTACACTTCCTTCATACACTCTGCAATGCTGCACTTCTGAAAGATTCTACCAATGAAAAGCCAAAGATACTTAGCGAAAATCTTAATTCCTTATTATCTGTTTCACTACATAGTATCTATCTCCTTTAATAGGTGTTGTTTGACTGACTGTTAATTTAGTAGGAATGGGGATAGCTAAGAAGCCTTTTATACTCTACAGATTACAAGGAAATACTTATTTTAAATAACATAATTTGCTTTTGAACTGTTATGTTTTTTATTCATAACTTTTCTCAAGTTCTGATTTCTGAAATTCTCTGATAAAATATTCTTAGTGTGCAAAAGATATACATGTGTGTGTTTGCTAATCCACAGGCCTGCCAGGAAAAAATGGAGCGAAAGGCAGTCAAGGAACTGGGTTTCCTGGAATCCAAGGTCCCCCTGGTCCTCCAGGTGAGAGATGGTTCAGCTGTGCAGATTCAGTGATTGGGAACATTTTTAAAAGTGTATTTTATATAATTTGTTAATGGAATTTGGAAAAAATGCAATAGTTTCTACACATCTTAATTACCTTTTAATGCCGTCTAATGAGATTGTCGTCAGCGGTCCCTATTTCTTAGTACACTGGGTCGGGTACTGTTTGGCAGAGCACTATCTGTTTGATTTGAAAACTGAGTCCTGATATATTCATGTACTAGTGACCATTGCTCAGAGAAGGGTCTTCCTTACAGCAGTGAGTTTTTGCAGAATACAGAACTAAGTGTTTATTAGAACCTGATCCAAAGCTGAAGAAAGAATAGAAATCAGAGGACTCTGATTCATGCACTGGGCTTTTAGATTAAATGATAAAAAGTCTAAACAGTGTACGAGAGCAGTTTTTTATACTGCCTTTTAAAGTGCAGCTTTAGTTAGATTTAAAGTCTTCTCCATGTTTGCTTTTTGATCTAAATTCTTGATCAGGTAATACGTTAATAATATGAACATATAAACACTTTGTGACAAGAAGTGTTTTTTCTGCAGAACAAAGTTTTCTTTGTCTGGATAGTGTTCTTAAAAGCAGGAGGTTATGGGTCTGTATTTGCCCATGCTTTTATATTAATGCATCTTCCATAACGTATTTGTTTATTGCATGTGTGTTGTTAAGGTCCTGAAGGTCCTCCAGGTATGAGCAAGGAAGGACGTCCTGGAGAACGTGGGCAGCCGGGTAAAGACGGAGATCGTGGCAGTCCCGGGATGCCAGGGCCGGTCGGACCGCCTGGAATCTGTGATCCATCACTGTGTTTCAGTGTCATTGTGGGAAGAGATCCATTTAGAAAGGGACCAAACTATTAATTTGTGATATGATACATTAGAGAATAGGTATGGTGCTTGTCTTTTATGGTCTTTAAAGTCTCAGGAAGGTGACCAACAATAATCTCATAAACAGGAATAAAAGTACCTCGGATATTATAAATTAATAAGAATCCCAAAGATTATACATTCTTTTTTGAAAGAAACTCCAGTGATTTTTATAGTTTGCATTGATGGAATCTCAAGTGGTTTTAAATAGAGATCACTTTTAATAGGAATAAAATTAACTGTAATATTTGAGGTTTACTATTTAAGTGCCCTATCATATTCCTGCTACCACTGAAGTCTTTTACAAAGYGTCTTGTGACTCCACTGGGAGCAGGGTTAGGCATTAACAGTTATTGGTCAGGTGTAAATTACTGTGAAAATTTTCACATGCAGCCTACCTATATGGTATTTGGATTGAAAGAATGTGGCTGGCTTTTATTTCATATGTGTGTGAATCTCCTTGGCTTGTGTACTTTTTCACGTGTCTTAGCTCAAAGTGTTCCTGTAGCGACAGCATATATCAAATTTTTATAAATTAAGGAAAAGCAGTGCTGGAACTTTATATGGAAGTGATTTCTTCTATCTTGCCATGCAGCTACCTGAGTTTAAGCATGGCGTGAGTTTAGAATTATGGTAGAATGCAACCTACTGATTCAAGCAGGGCCAGGATTTTACAGAAGATGATACTTTCAACTACAAAAAGRTCCCATGTGAATGATTTGGCTTATGTGAAAATTACTTTTTTTTTTTTTTTTCAAACTGGTATACCTGGTTTGGTATTTGACAAAAAAAAAATAATAAAAAAGTTTGTACCACCAAAACTAATCAGTTCTGCATAATTCTGGGTTATGTTATACACCCTTTATTCTTTCTCCCCAAGGACTGCAGTTGTAGAACAGAGAAAGCAGGTTTGCAAGAAAGGTCAAACTGCTGGCTAACTAGCTGTAATGTTTGTTTTGCTGTTTCCTTGTTCATTTAAAGCAAGAYATGTGCAATTTTCATTGTATGCTTTGCTAATAAGGTGTATTGCTTGCTTTTCCATAAAGAGCAAAGGCACAGTTCCCATTAGGATCTGAAATCCTTTTCTTAAATTAATGCAGAATCCTGTATTGAACTTAACCAAAGCTTTCAAAGTGGCTTTTCTTTTCTGAATGTGTTTTTTTTTTTTTCTGTTGTCATACTATCAGAGATTGGTAATATGCTTGACATTCAAGGCAAAATAAAATTTTTTACAGAACTAGTGGTAGCTAGATGACCAATTGCAAGTTGCCTGTGTTGCACATGGCAGGGAAGAGCATCTGCTTGAAGGGTACTTCTGCTTGAGGGGTGTTTCCACTGCCCAACTGTGCTTTTTACTTGGTATCCTTCCCTGTGGGAGGACAGAGGGAATTGAGGCCTGAGCTGCCAAGCTGAACCTCTGCCATACCAGGAAGCCCAGCAGACTGCAAACATTTGTCCCCTAACGTGAGTTTGAAAGCCTGTGAGATGATTGTTGGAAGATACCCACTGCCTGACTGAATGAAGCAAAAAAATGAGAAATGAAGTTGTGTGTGCAGTTTTCTCTCCAAAGTAAGTCATTCGGATCGTTCAGTGTCGCTGGCAGGACTTTGCTCATGTGAGCATATGTTCAGTTGAATATGTGGTAACTGGAATCTAGAAACATCATATTCAGTCTGCCCAGTCTTGGTGTATTTGTTTATGAGTGCTGCATCAATGAGGAGTCAAACACGTGCAGGTTTCTAGGCATTTTCCCTAGTGCATGCTAGTTTAAGTCACTGTTTAAGACACCTTTTCCAAGAAAATTTATGGTATTGTGACTGGAGGGACACATCTTCTTGGAGGTGCTCTGCGGGGAAGCAGAAACAAATAAGGATCAAGGCCAGAGGACACCTGATGGCAGTGAACAGCAGCAACGGAAAGCAAGAATTTCTGATTTGCAAAAAATCACAGTACCTAGCTTCATTGTGGCATAAAGCAACATATACACATTCTTCTGCATCAGAAAAAAATATGGAAGTTTCAGAAAGCTCAGTGGTGTACGGAGCTCAGCCATTTACTTTGTACCTCTAAGAGTCACAATCTTCTTAGGAAAGTTTGGAGTAAGTAAATATGGAGTGATATCTGTTTTATATTTATGTACGTATATATGTGCATATATGTGTATTATTACACAAAATTACATATATTACACAAAAGATCAGATGTTACGGTTAGCTTCTGCATGTGGCAGATTTATTTGGTGTGTGTCTATCTGAAAAGTCGACATAAATGTGTACACACACACCTCATGAATATGTATGTGCACATATATATGATACATAGCATGCATATGTGTGTGTATATGTATACATATATATTTATATGCATGTGCATACACATACATATAGTTCCTCAGATCTTCAGTTGCTCAGCTAAAAAATATTTTAATTTTCCAATTAAAATAAAGTCAAAACTGCTGTAACAACTGAACAGACTTGAATCTCTGTACAAAGGGGTGATAGTATTTTGTTTTAGGTGAAAAACACAGAGGATAAATGAAAGCACCTCTTAGGAATGCATATTCAGTGAAGACAGCAAGTCATTGTAGGAACCATTGGCTTGTGGGATCATGTTGAAATGTTTGAAAGTTAAATTAACACATGCAAAGAAAATACTTGCGGGTCTACATATACTGGAGAATCCAAGCCTGTTTTTTTTTTTTACAGTAGGCAAATCATTGCTTTGGAACACCTGAGTTTTTCCTCAGATGTATTTTCCCCCTCTCAGTGTTTACTGTGTTTGCATATAGTACTTTCAGTAACAAATATTTTGGTGATGTTCCAGTGCATTATATTGTTCTGTGCTCTTCTTCCCTTTCTTGGCACAAGATGCAAGCACTGGAAGCTGTTTTCCAGAAGCAGTGTCCGGCTGCTCGCCTCGCTCTCCAGGGGGTATATTGGCGGGTCGGAGCTTCCTTGGTTTACTGCCATGGGCTTATAGAAATATGTAAGTGTTTTGTGCTGGGTTTTCTGACACTTTGGGACACAATTTCCTCTGATCACTGATGAAAGTACATAGTATTCTTCCACTTAAGGAAAAGGTAGGTGTGAATTCATCAGATTTATCCATGTGACTGTTAAGGCAGCCTATGTCCATACTGCCTGTGAAAAGTATCTCCTCTGTGATAGAAGCTCATAAATTCCAGAGAATGTTTTCAGTTTTTCCTTGAGTAAAATATGAACAAAATCTATGGTATCTTTGTGACACATCAAAATCACATATAAAATAGTATCCAAAAAAGAAGTCACTCTTAGAAACCATGCGTTTCAAATAAAATGATTTTTTTAAGGTTTGAAAATACAATACCATCCTAAGACATGGAAAGAAAGAATCTGTAGTGTAAGTAGAAAAGATTCCTCAAGGTACATGAAGCTCATACTGATTCAAGAAGGGATTTTGCTACCGTGTGGACAAGAGATATCCTAAAGAAAAAATCAATGTAAGCAATACAGTAGCCTAGCTATCAAACAAAGGAAAAGGAAATGGTCACTCACTTCACTCCTCTGTTGTAAGATAACATGATTTGAAGGAATTATGCTTCTCCCTGTCCCCTACAAAAGAAAAAGTAATGGGAAATATGGAAATAACATCCACTCGCTATGAAGTGATAGACCTCCCAGAACTGCGAGCTCAAGACAGATATATCAGTGCACATCAGGGATCCCTGGCAGCCAAGGCTGAAGTTCTGGTTGTGAGTACAGGAGATCATAACATCTGTCCCAGCCTGCTGTTATCTAACTTTTCCCCTGGAAATTGGCAAGCAGACTGCTAACGCTCTGTGTTTGTGTTATAAAAGTTTAAAAAGTTTGAAGTTATTTTGTATATGCACTAAGCCTTTTTACAATATGTGCTGCTAAATGGAGTCCTTGGTGAAGCTTGTAAATGGTTTGGATCTTAAGAGATGACCCCCCAGCAGGTTGAGGTGTGTTACTGCTAGATTTAATGTAGCTGAACTGAGTTTCTGACCTCAGTGGAGAAACACAGAAGTAGGTAGATACTAGGACCAAGCATTTGGGATTATAAAGGGGGAGTTTGGCAACAACAATAGTGCTGTGACAAGAACGTAGGTGGGTACTTCTGCACCAGAAATGTACATAACATTGGCTCTGGGAAATCAATGTTCACCTTCAGTCTTGAGTTGTTAGTGAACTAGAGGACCAAACAGCATCTGACTCTAACAGGAAAAATAAATATCAGCTAATGAATGGTGGATATCTTTCCATCTCTGAACTTCGTATGAGTATTCAGTCTATAGCAGGAGCAGATTCAGACTCCAGCTGTATCTAGAAGGAACTTTCTAGTGAGTAATTTTCCATGCAACGGAGAGGCATGCTCTTTCCCCTTCAGCTGTGAGTGGCCACTATGTATCTGACCATGGGAGAAATTCCTTCCTGACCTAAAACCTCATATTCTGTTCCAACAAGATATATTTTCATCTCAAAATGGGAACAATTGGCTGAAAAGAGGTTGTGGTTTCTGTGTGTGTGAGGGAGAAAGAGAGAGGGATCAACTCTCCATTGTATGGGAACAAAGTTCTGCTGGACTGTGGAAAACAGGGAGCATACTCAGCCAGAGCAGGGCTGTGGGGTCGTGTTTGGTTTTCTATGCTAGTTTGTGCAGGTTTGGGAGTACTGGGGAGGCTGAGGCAGGTGCTTTCAATTCATAAACTCTTCATTTCAATCTGAAAATAAAACAATGTAGTATTTCAAAAATGCATTTCTGTGAAATTACATTTCCTACATTTCCATAATTCTGTATTTATGGTTTTAATCAAATCTTCAGGAATATCTAAAATGCTTTTCTTTCTAATAATGTAGATTTCTTACATATAATATTGATTATCTGAGAGATGGTGGATTTTTTATTCCTTTTCTCCTGCTGTGTTGAGCTACTMAAAAAAAACCCCAAAACCCAAAGTCATTAACAGGAATGATAAATAACCACAGAGTTCCTATGGTAGAGGGCTGTGTAAACTGTGCTCAGTAATTAATTCTGATATCAAAATGCCTGGGAAGGAGAAAAGTGTCATTACTTATCTGAAGAGTGCTGTGTTGTGCCTCAGTAAGTATGACACAAACATTTATTTCTTTTAAGTTTATCCAAAGTGTGTATGTATTTATCAGTGTATGCACTATTAATTTCAAGCAGGTCACACAGGAAAATCTTAACACCAATCCCAAACTCTTCAGAATTGGCAGGAACGTTCTCTCAGCATTAAAGCAGTGTCTCGTAGTTCATCTGTTGTGCCTGTATACCAAGCAAAGAAATACCGGGTTTGGATGAAGTGAAATTTCAATTTCCAGTAAAAATATTTGGATTTTGCAGAACTTTATATATACATAACAAAATGTTCCTCCCTCTAAATGTTTAAAACAAATGTTTAAACAAATTGACATCTGTTAAAGTGCCCAGAGAGTCCTAGGCACCGGTGTTGACAAATGGAAATTCATTTTTTATAGTAAATGTACTAATAGGAATTCTTTTATGGCTATAAGAATGTTCCAGGGTACCCCTGATGGCCAGCGATCTCCTTCCCAAATTGATTCATCAAAGGA